TTCTAAAACAGGGACTAATTCCAGGAAGCTGCCAGTCACTCCTGTGGGGTTCAGATGACGGCGAATGATATTCGGGATCACTGACTGAGTGACTGAGTGACTGAGTGACTGAGTGACTGAGTGACTGAGTGACTGAGTGACTGACTGACTGACTGACTGACTGACTGACTGACTGACTGACTGACACTAGCTGTTTCCAGCTGACTTAAAAGCGTACCTGCCGCTTCAAAAGTTCGCCCTGAGGACAGAAAGAGGCCTAGATTCTGAACGTCATGAAGTTTCAGAATAACAGAAGATGGACAACGAGTAAGTACTCAATCCACAGGACGTGGTGTCTACAGAGAAAGTCATAAACGCCACCACAACCTTCACTGTATCATTTCAAAATTAAATTTTTATACACCGTTTCCTCAATTCTAAGCCTCACAAGAACACTTACTTTTTTTCAGAAGACTTATTCATGATCTAAAAAAAATTCGTAAATACATTCAAATAACGACAAAAAAATTGTATCTGTTGCTCATCAGACAGATATGTCTCGACCTGAAAAGTCATTAGAATTGTCATGTAACTAAAATTTTCAATTCAGTTACTCAGGTTCTCCATATCAGAGTTCTTTCATGCCTAAAACTTATATGTTGTTACAATTAATAAAAAAACTAATATGGTATACGCTTAATACGAGTATATTGCCACGTGACTGACTATAGACGGGGTTTGGACTGGGAACTGGATATATTGAACACTTACAGAATGTAACTACGACAGTCTCACTGAATTACACACACCAAAGATCACTGTAACTACAGCATGCATAATGTCTTTTCAGTTCACAATGTCTTTACCAGTCGCCGCCTGGCGACAGATCCCAACAATGTCCTCTGCTTCCGTGTTCACCTTCTTACCGGCTGGCGACTGTCTTGCAACTACCTCCTACTACTTTAACTGCCGTCTCTAGGCTCTCTCTAATCAAAGTCAAAGTTATGTTACGATCGATGGTCAGTCGGCCAGTCTGTTTTGGAATAAAGTGCCCATCTAGGGCTTAAGACCAGATCTTTTTTACTGTCAGACATTTGCGGGTTTGTTGATGTGGGACGCTCTCTCTGACGAGAGNATTACTGTCAGACATCTGCAGGTTTGTTGATGTGGGACGCTCTCTCTGACGAGAGGAGGGAACTGTCGTGTCGTTTGTCAGAATCACAGGCAAGAGTAGTAAGTCTGTTGTCAGTATGTACGATTTACATTTTGTATGTATATACAACATATATAAGGCCTCTGTCAGTCCATGCTCAGTACAGAAGATCATGCCCTATCATTAGTACTCTCTCTAATGACAACTGGCTCTCGTTATACGTGTATAGCGACGGCAGAAACCACACGGCGAAAACTCCTTCCAAAATCTCTTATATTGTTGTCTGCGTGTTTCTTACGACCATTATCTAGTAACGGCTGTTGTTCATAGAGCCATTACTTAGTAACGGCTGTTGCATAACTGCTTATTTCGCGGTCGTTGCGTAGCAATGGGTCTACAAGCCATAATATTAATGAACTATACTATACTTACTTTTATTAAACGTTATGTAAGTACTTAGCAATGAACGAACATTCTTGTAGAAACCTCAAGTGATCATACCAAGTGTACGTGTATTTTTTAGATGGAACCATGTTAGTGTATGCTGTAATTTTACGGTGTTTTCTAAGTTATATTATGTCACAATGTACTGCATCTGTACATAATCTACTGCAATGGAAACATATTGTGACGTGCCGCCAGGAAGGACGGACTGTAAGGCGTCCATTGCTGGTCAACGGCTAGCAATTTCTAGGCAACGAAATATAAACAGCCCGTTACCTAGTAAATCTCTTAAAAACAAGCGCGTTCACCCGGAGACGGAAGCCTAACAGTGGGGTTGCCAACGTTAGAAAGAGGTTAGCAATGCATATGTAACGAACTGTTTGAGACAGACATGTATTCCCGTAGTAACGAGAAAGTCGTTTACATGACAGCAGCGAAACTGAACATTCCGACAAGGTGGCCTCTATCCCCCCCGAGCACGTGATATAAGCAAAGAACAGGACCAAGTCATGGCGGCGGTCAAGCATACGGCCGTTCAAGTGACTAGACTGCCGTTGTAGCGAAAGCTACTAGAAACAGGGCATAATCTGCTGAACTGAGACTGGACTCAAAACTCAGTACAGCAGATTATGCCCTATTTCTAGTAGCTTTTATTAACATGTTTAACATTTAAAATGGAAATATCCTTTACATTATGACAAATGACTTATTACTACAGACAATGACTCTGACAAAAGACTCTGACGTCCCACAAAAACAAGACCGAAACAGTCAAACAGTAATAAATATCTGGTCATAAGCCCCAGATTTGCTTCGATTCCAAGACTGACTGACTGACTGACTGACTGACTGACCGTCAGTCGCAATGTGACTTTGACTTTGGACCAAGTCAATTCAGCTTTGGCGAGAGCAGAAGATAATCCAGTTTCGACAAGGGATTACAGAAGAGTCAAGACACTTCACCGAGATTAGCGGTGCAAGAGCAGCACCACTGAAGAGGAAACGTCTGAAGGCGCCATAAGTGCGAGTGTAACCAACAAACAGACCCGTGTAACCCGAGACCCATCGTTTCTTGTCGCGCTACCTAGGAAACACGCGACAATATTGTCTTTTCTCATAGCCGCGTATATTTGACCATGCTTTTCTGAAGGCAAGCTATGCAGACAGGATGACACAACAGCGAAGCCACGTAATGACTGCTTGGCACGACGGGTGCCTGCAGTTAGAGCAGTTACAGAAGCTGCCCAATAACAGAAATGAGATCAGCTTCTCTTGAAGCCAAGGCAAGTGGGTGTCTTGGCACCACAACATGTCCCGTCCTCATGTTGCGGATGCAGGGGATGAACTCCAGATGTGACATACATGTCCCCGCAAAACGTACGCGAATTACGGAATTTTATATAAGGTGTCACTTAGACGGAATCCTTGGAGCGACCCAAACACTGCAAAAGGGTTGAAACTTAGAATGTTAAGATTCCCTAAAGGCCAGATTCACGGAAAAGAGTTACAGAGCGGAAGTGAGATTTACTGGGAGTGCAGGCGGTGACATGGAACAGGGGTGACACTGAGGCAGCAGACGATTATAAGGTTCTTCTACGGAAATGGGAAAGTTGATAATTAATTAGAGACAGGATGTTTCGTCATTCTGCTATCAAAAAAATTGTTTATGAAATGGATGGAGGACGTACCTAGTAAAGACGGCAGAAAAGATAAAGTTCTCACAAGACAGCCTGAAGGCTAGAGACCACTTAAAAGTCCTAATCGCAGGCAGTAGGGTAATATTCTTGCATGTCTGCCGAAAGCATGAATTGTAAAGCCAGCAGAGACAGTTGTTACTAGGGAACGGCTCTGTATACATGTCCGTTGCTAGGCCATTGATTAGTAGCCGTCATATAATGACCGAAACAGACAATAGCGTAATGCTAGAAGATCTGTTGGAAGCGGTGTTTTCTGTGCGGTCCGGTCCGAGGTTATACAATATGAACCAGATACCATTACTAGTCAAACCCGTGTGGAGATAAGGTCGAATACCTCCACTGTGACCCTGCGAGTCGTAGGAGGCGATGAAAAGCAAGTCCCAAATCTGAAACAGTAAAATATGGTCGCAAGTCCAAGTGACTCGGACCCGAGAAAGACTGCACTGGCAAGGGCCAGCAGCGTATACGAAAGACAGACCCGTCCTCTCGTCAGAGAGGGCGCCCACAAAACAAGACTGTAACTGTCAAACAGTAATAAATATCTGGTCATGAGCCCCGGATATGACTCTTCACAAAGATTTACTGACTGACTGACCGTCAGTCGCAATGTGCCTTTGTCTTGGACTTGATTACCAGTCAGTCGAGAGTCTGCAGACGGTTGAGGGTAGCAGTAGCTGAGGCCGAGGCCAGTTCGGGAGCCCAGAGAAAGTGGAACGTCCGCTGTTTGAAACCGCTACCAAGTAACGTTTGGTGAAGCCCGTAACGGAGAACAGTAGTTTTGCGTGATGGTGAGATGCAAAGTGTAGTCACGAGTTGTTTAAGCGTTCAATAAGTGGGATTACCAATCCAAAACCTGTCCATAATCACTCCTCTATGTTATAGTGTATTGAAACATATCCCGAAGTTCTAACATTTTAACTGGAGAGGCAATACGAGGTGGAACGATAGGGATTTGGAAGACAGTTGTTGAGGCTTTACCCAGGCACTTATTTCGAGGGACTGAGAATTTCCATGAAAACCTCAGTTACGATAGCCACTGTCCTTTGCATGTGTACGCATGTCGGGGTCGTACAAATTGCTTCATTGTGTTTGTTAAGCTAACACGAACAGCACAGGAAATCTGGTAATTTTTTCTCATTATGTGTTCGTGCGTGTCGGCTACGATAAGGGCACCAATATATATAGGGGCAGGCCCGTGCCATCAGACATAACCGCAAGAACGTCAAGTCACACTGACCACTGCTGTAAATCTGTCGCAGACGAAGACACCCGCTGAAATATTTTGGTGGGTATTATACAGTATAGAAGTGGTGGTTGTGGTGGTGGTGGTGGTGGTGGCAATGGTAGTAGTAGTAGTAGTAGTAGTAGTAGTAGTAGTAGTAGTACAAAAAAAAAGCATGTGGTTTTTCAGCATTTTTAGTCATACAGGAAATAAATGTATATGTGTTTAATTATAACGCACATAATTCAGACTACGTCAGCAAAAAAGTATTAATATCACAAGAGCTCAATTCAAACAACATAGTATTAATATTTATGTAACCAAATAGCATAAAATGCACAGAAACAAATCAAGACAACGAAGAAATTTATAACTTGTACTCATGTTATATTTTAGCGTCCTGTTGCACTGATTTAAGTCCATGATTTATTTAATCCGTCTTGCAGTGCATACACTCATTTAACTCCTCTCCCTCGCACTACATGTTTCGGCATAATAATGCCATCTTCAGGTGCTTATCTATCCACGTCAAACCAGTTCATTGCATGCCATGTTCACGCATTAAAATAACTAAAATATGTATCTATCATATACATTGTCAAACGTTAAANAATCATTAACTTGTACTCTTTGCCGATGTACTGTCTTCGCTCGCTTGGAAACCGGGATCGTGGGTTCGAATCCCACTCAGGGCATGGATGTTTAGTTTTTGTGTGTGTACAGGTAGAGGCCTTGCGACGAGCTGATCACCCGCCCAAGGAGTCCTACCGAATGTGTTAGATCTAGAAAAAAACCCGAAGTGAACGGAGAAGTTCATGGAGGTAGGCCTAGGCCCACTGGGGCTGTAGTGCCAAGGAAAAAAAAACTCTTCGCTGAGTATAATTAGAATGATCAGGTCAAGGACGATGAGATGAGAAGGGCATGTAGCACGAATGGAGGAGACGAGGAATTCATATAGAATATTGGTGGGAAAGCCAGAAAGAAAGAGATCACTATGAAGACGAAGACTAAGTAGGTGGTTAATATTAAAATAAATCTTCGAGAGATAGGCTCGGGTGGTATGGACTGGATTGAGTTGGCTCAGGATAGGGACCAGTGGAGGACTCTTGTGAACACGGTAATGGACCTCTGGGTTCCAGAGAATGTTGGGAAGTTTCTGAGTAGCTGAACAACTGGCGGTTTCTCAAGAACAGCTCAGCTGCATGACGTTAGTTCGATCCTACAGACCATATGTAATAGCCTACTGATTCGCATAATCCGTGACAAATTAAAAATACCTGTCGTTAAGAACTTCAACCTGAAAATTTTACCTGAAATGTATCCCAAGAGTTTCAGCGGCATACAGCACAGTTAAACTAAAAAATCCTCATGTCTCTAGGAGACCTCTGAGCAAAATTAGAGAACAATTTCCCGCCCAAGTAGTTTCCAATGCCTCTGGTAGATGGGGGAAATATCAGGTACCGACGGCCGACCTCGTTGGCTGAACGGGGCTGATAGCACGCACCACTACCGGTAGGGTATGGCGACAGTAGAAATTAAAGGGGGANGGAGAAACCCACCCCTCTAATAATAATAATAATAATAATAATAATAATAATAATAATAATAATAATAAATAAATAAACTAAAAAACCCGAAGCTGCACACAACAAAACGCACCCAGGCTCCAACAGAGAGCAACCACGGTCGAAATTAAATCAAAATTAAATTTAATGATAATTGACAGTGTACATTCTGCAACGTCTGTTCGAGTTAAGACTAACGGATACATAAAGTCCGGCTATTAACTCGCCCTTAAATAGAAAAATCTACGTGCATTGTCATTAGCCGAAATGCACTTAAATAATTCAAGTCTGTGTGACACTTGTTTAGGTTCATGAAGTGCAGCTAATTAATCTTCAATAGACATAGTAGCAGATGCTCCAAGAAAGCTTCCTTAAATCGATAAATAAGGAAGAAATGGCTAAGAATTTGGGAGACTGGCGCAATTTAAATTCTAAGTAACACTAAAACACCGACCTCTTCCGAACCACCTTATATGTTGTTATCTTCGTTTTAAAGGTGGTATCCACACAACAACCTTCCCTGACTTCGGTCAATGTTGTTGATTATGAGAGGAAATTACTGACAAAGTATTGTCACGTGTAGAAATAACTCTAGAAGGGGTTTTGGATTATATGTTACATGTATTCACCACTTTAACACACGACTCGTGATTACACTGAATTACAACGCCATCGATAATTTCTACACTTCACAAATCACTAAGGCTCATGCTAAGTGTTTTTCAAGTCGGCAGTGTCTTCACTAGACGTTTGCCAGTAACGGCTTCTAACAATGTTTATTCCTCTGCTTCCGTGCTCAAGTTCTCTCTGAATTCTTGCTCCAACATAGTTTTCTCTGTCCTCTGAACACCGACTAAGCTCGAAGTGAAAGTCAAAGTTGCTTTACGACTGGCCGTTTACCACCAATCAGTTAGTCTTGGTGTTAAGCCCCTTGAGACCCACGACCAGAAATATTTTTTCAACTGCACCGTTGCGGTCACAGTCCTTATGTAACATCCTCCCTGACGAGAAGATGGATTTCTCTTACGAATATGCTTGGCCTTTCGCGAAGTGTAAGTATCGAACATATAGCATATTATTGAAAATTCTTCCTTGTGCACTATATACAAATCCTCTGCCAGTACAGGCTTTGCAAAGCACATCATGCCTATCTTACGTATCTTATGCTACAACGGCAGCTTAGTCACTTGAACGGTCGTAAGATTGACCACCGACAATTCCACCGTGCAACAATATCAGGATTTGAAATTAAATCCTTTTTCTTCACCGCGTNNCACACCTTTCGCATGTTCAATTCGTCCATAACGATGCGATGCACAACGGCTTTTGGAATGTTCAGAGTATCGGCTAAGAACCGGACAGTCATTCGACGGTCAGTATTCAACAAATCACGCACACGAGTCACATTTTCATCTGTTTGGTTTGTTGATGGCCGTCCAGAGCGGGGGTCATCTTCCACTCCTTTCTGGCCCTCCTTAAACTTCTTCACCCACCTTGTAACTTTCACATATGATAGAGCAGACTCCCCGTAGGCTTGCTTAAGCAGTTCGTGAGTTTCGGCAGCTTTTCTGTTGAGCTTTGTGCAGAACTTGACCGCCCAACGTTGTTCGAAAGTATCCGACATCGCGCGCCGTGACGTGGTCACAAAACACAGGTGCATTAAATCAGCGATACTGACGCCTCCATGCTCGATCAGACTGACCTTGGGCGCGCTGTGAAGCTGAAGGCCTCCCCCCCGCAACCCAACCGGTTCCAGCGCGCTCCGACCAGTAGGAGCGCGGGAAAGAAATATATTTCATGACTTTTGGGACACACCTTGTATCTCGTGCCATGACAGCTTAGTCATTTGAACTGTCGTAAACTTGACCACCGCCAAGTTTAAGCCTCTTTTAATTTCTATAGCTGGCTTCGCCATGCCCTATACTAAGGACATGTTCATTCTCATGGTTTTGTATGACTTCTGCTTGTCGCCTGCACACTTTTGTTGGCCAAGCCCTAACCTTGTCACTTGCTTAGAACCCCTCGACACGGACCATGTAGAAAACACCCTTCCTCTGTTCCATGAGTGTCCGTTGCCGCGGGAACGTGTTTACCCAGCCGTTCCCTAGCAGGGGCCGTTTGTTCCTGCTTATTAAGAATCTTCCGCCTAGCAATGGATGTTGTTCCGTTGTTTGTACCGCAGCCGTTGCCTAAAAACGAAAGTTGTTTCAGAGCCGTTCGTTAGCAACGGCTATTTCTCTGGCTCAAGATTTCTTGCTTTGAGCAAATAAGCGACAGTATAATCAATTAGGTTGGACGGCACTGAAATTTGTGTTTAGAGAGTTAACGAAAGTTTGGTAAGGCTACTGGTAAGGGAAGTTGGCCGAAACGTTCTGCACGATATTCGCGGTAAGGATAAAGGAATTTGCAAACGTCAAGTCGATTCACTTTTAATGTTGATTGACTTGTACTCTCCTGTTTCTTGCACAAACACTACATCGAGTTAATTAATTATATTTAAATTTACGATAAATGCAATGTTTTCATTTAATACAGTAATTACATTTATTGAATTAATATTTATGTCATTTCAACAAATTAGTGAACAAAATTTAAGGAATTTAAATGGAAGCCTACAATTATTCTGCATGGATGATTTGGAATGTGGAGTTTGCAGAGAGAGCGTCCGTGCATTTCAAATGGTTGATGGGAAGTGGCTTACACATGCGCACGTCGCGAATTCAAAATGCGAGTTCTCCCCCGCGCGGATTCATACATGCCGTTTCATCTTTTATCGGGAAGTTGAACGAAGAATTGCGTCATAATGTTCCTTGCGTAGTTCTCTTCCGCAGCCAAAAGTGGTTTTTTCACTAACTTTGTAGGCTTGTCCAATTTTCTGTACCCGAAAGAAATTAATTTGTTGTGTCAGAACTCCGCATATGCCGGAGTTGCCAGAATTCAGAAATTTCAACACATGACCATACCGCCCAAGACGATGAAATACAAAATTGCAGAACCACAATGAAGTTTAACTAACATTAAGTTTAAAGTGCCTATAAACAAATATAAATAAATTTGTCGATCATTTAATTAATCAAAGTCTATCGAAAAGGTCCAGGATTGATCAGCGTAAAGGGAGAACATTGGAATGTAAATGTATGTGAGTTGAAGTCGGTCGGCCAGGTAAACTGCTGCTGGTCCTCGCAAGCACAGTCATTCTTGATTCCGGCTCCAGCGGGACTCACGACCCTATATTACTGTCTCACGACTCTGAGAGCAGTGGAACTGGAGTACATCAGCTCCTAGTATACAAATTGAGTTAGCGGCCTCTGTAGTCTAGGGATAACGTTCCCACCTCATGACTCAAGGTACGCGGGTTCAAAAACCCGGCGCAGGACGTGGAATTTTTAAGGGCGGAAAAATTCAGGGAACAAGTCCTCCGGGAGGGACTTTAAGCCGTGGGTCCCGTGTCGTAGATTTACGGCACGTAAAAGAACCTCATGTCTCTAGGAGACCTCTGAGCAAAATTATGCCAAGTTTCCCGCCCAACTAGTTTCCAATTCCCCCGGTAGATCGGGGAAGTATCAGGTACCACTGCCAGAGGAGGGGGGACCTCTCTGACAGAAAGGGACTAAAGCATTAAATACCACTGCCAAGTAGAGGGTAGAAACCTTGCTGGCAGAAAGGGACTAGGAACCCCTGCCAGAGGAGGGACGACCTCGCTGACAGAAAAAAGGGACTAACTATTAGATACTACTGCCAGTAAGAGGTTGGAACCTCGCTGGCAGAAAGGAGCTGATAGTAATCACCGGTACCGGTAGGGTATGGAGACAGTAGAAATTAAAGGGGGACGCACAATGGACCAGTAACCGGTCTAAGTGCATGGGGAAACCCGCCCCCTCAATACGGAATACGGAATACAAATTGAATTTATCAGGAACATGGATTTGAACAGAAACAACGTCACAGTTTATTCAGAGTCAGACCTACGCTTAACTCGATACACAATAAGTTGGATTTGTGGTTCTCAAAGCGATGACAAAGCAGAACATGTTCTTCCAGGCTGTGACACCGCGTAGCTAGACAGGAGTCCACCGCCTTTAGGAGGAATATATATGCTAGTGTCACGTGTCCGGGGTTCCTTAATAAATAACTGCGGATTCTGGATTTGACCGTTGGGTTTATTCGACGTTGCTAACACGATTACATCCGGTTACAATAACTCACACGTTCATCTCCTGGATACCGAATCTCTTGCTGTTGTCTGCATTTTGCACCTCCGGTCTACTGGACCCTCCTCTCGCTTCTTTGTTCTGTTCTGTCCACGAATGCACTGCTTGGCCTACAGACTATGGGACACCGAATCGAGCAGTTAGTCCCTCCGTTGTCATGGAAACGACACCTCTGTTGTGCAAGAAACGTCTGTCTACGTTGCTTAGGAGAGGCCTGTTCAGGAGTCGCTACCTGTGCAATGGATTCACATGTCACACTACCGTTTTCAGGATCGAGAAATAGGCCTATCAAGATTCTATAAAAAAACCCAAAATACTTAACAAACAATATACCATTCTGCGAGTTACCGTGCACTTGAGGCAGTCGTTCTCAGCAATAAAGGCATTATGTCATCTGAGGAAAATTTGTTAATATATCTCGTAAACATATACGCAATTCTTTAACTACAAAAACAAAAATATTGGAGGCAGAAATATATTTCTGTGCAAGAAACCCATCACTTTTACGTCACTTGGGTCAGTACTTTATGGAACCGAGTGACTATTTTGACGCCCCCACGTACAAAAACCTACGCTTCATCCGAAGCGTGGGGTTGCTGAAGGAATAATTAAAAAGGGGGAAGCACAGTAGACCACTGAGGTCGCGGTGCAAGGGCCGAGAAGACCTACCCCTCATATATTCTATTCTATTCTAGCCCATCACTTCGATAACAGAAAACAGAACACTGATAATCGTAACATTAAAAAAATATTTCCATATTAATACTCTAGACAAGACACCATATAATTAAGCAGAAGACTTGTCTCTTGTTTGTGACCTAATACATAACTTAAATACATAAATACACGTACGTACGTGAACACTCATCTCACCTTTACATTACTTTTTTATATATTCATTAAATAATATACAACTTTGGGCCGTCAGAAATAGAACATATATACGTACTTATTACATTTGTGATAAATTAGGCAAAACATGAGTTGTAATAGAAAATGATGACTATTTTCAGATCACTGGTGCTCCAGTCCGGTCTCAAGATGAGAGCTATGCTATGCCTCCTGTTGGTCGCCGTTGTGCTTACCGCTCAGGTAAATAAGCAACAAAATGTCCAACACTATGAATTCTGAACACAAAGTTGACCATATACTGCTACCACGCCAATATATCTTACGTCATACTCGAGGACCCCGGCTGTCACTAATTCGGTAGGCTGGAGTCTTAACATATTATGTCAAGCTATGCGTTGCCTTCTGAAATGGCAAATGTGCAATGCAGATTCCGTATGAAGATGTAAGAGTCAATCACAGTTAATCATAACTCTTCATTACAAAGACTTTGGCCTGTGCCCATTCAGAATTAATTAATTATTTGAATCCTATACACAGTCGGTGCCGGTCACGGTAGCCAAGCGGTCTAAGGCATGCACTGTCTTCGCTCGCTCGGAAGCCGAGATCGTGGGTTCGAATCCCACTCAGAGCATGGGTCTTTGTGTGCGTTTTTCTGCGTTTGTGTACAGGTAGAGGCCTTGCGACGAGCTGATCACCCGCCCAAGGGGTCCTACCGAATGTGTAAGATCTAGAAAAACCGAAGTGAACGGAGAAGTTCATGGAGGTAGGCCTAGGCCCACTGGGGCTGTAGTGCCAAGGGAAAAAAAAATACACAGTCGGTAGGACTCCTTTGAAGGATTAATACCTCCACACACACAGTGCAACACAAACAGAGAGCACAGCAACAGACATTCATGCTTCGAGTTTAATTCGAACCCACGATCCCAGTGTTTGAGCGGGCCAACACCGCTTTAGACCGTGCGGGCACCGTGATCTGCATTACCCAGACTTAAAAAAGGATAATAAATGCTATCCGGAGATTAATAGAGCGCAGCACAAGACACGGGATGTAGACAGAGGAGCAGAGTGAGACGGTAGCTCGTTGCACTTGAACATTCTGCTTACACAGGCGAACACGAAAAGTGCTTAAATTTCTGAACGATGTCTCCTCCTGTTTCAGAACTTGGTGACGGCTGCTGTCGCTCTCAGGAAACAACCTCCGAGTCCTTTATGGAAATGAGCACAAATTCCTTCCGTTCAAAAGAGCATATATATCACATGTATTTGATTTTCTACAGAAAAAAGGCAAGTACAAAGATGCTGTTCACATTTTGTAGTATATTATTACACTCACTACGATAGCCTGGAAAAGATATACGTAAGCTTTGTGCAACAGTTGTTTAATTATTTCATATTGTCACAATTTATGATGTGGGGCTATGGACGGGGTTTTGGATTACTGAATTTATTGACCACTTACAGGTCGTACTACAAATAGCTATAACTCACTCACTCGTGGAACTGAAGCTTTCTTGAAAAGCCGCAAATTGTGCAGCTCTTCAAGAATTTCCAGCATTTTATGGAACCCGAAGGTTCATTTCCGTGTTCATAAGAGCCCTCCACTGGCCCCTATCCTGAGCCAGATCAATCTAATCCATACCATCCTATACTACCTCTCCGTTATAATATTAACCACGTACCAACGTATTGGCCTTCCCATTGGTCTCTTTCCTTCTGACTTTCCCACCCATATCCTATATGCATTCCTCTTCGCCCCATTCGCGCTATATTCCCTGCAAATTTCATCCTCCTTGACTTGATCAATCTAATTACACTTGGAGAAGAGTACAAGTTATGAAGCTCCTCATTATGCAGTTTTCGCCAACCTCCTGTCACTTCATCTCTCTTCGGTCCAAATATTCTCCTCAACACCCTGTTCTCAAACACCCTCAGTCTATGTTCCTCCCGTAATGTCAGAGAACAAGTTTCACATCCATACAGAACCACAGGCAAAATTATAGTTTTGTACGTATATTCTAATTTTTATGTTTTTGGACAGCAGACGAGAAGACAAAAGGTTCTGGACTGAATGGTAGCAAGCACTACCCGTGTTCAATCGCCTCTTGATTTCCTCATGAATCTGGTTTTGTTTTCTTGCAGTCGTTCTCAAATATCTGAACTGTGCCACATTTTCAAAACATCTGTTTTCTATCGTTATGTCATGATTTTGCCCTGCATTTTGGTGACGAGACAGCAACGTATACTTAGTTTTCTCTGTGTTTACTTCTGTGCCAACTTTCTTACTTCCGTCAATTAAAGTTTGTGTTTTTTTCTTTATGGTATCTACATTATCACCCAGTAGATTCACATCATCGGCATGTGCCAATAGCTGATGTGTCCCATTTAATTTCAGTCAAATCTGGTTTTCCTGCATCTTCCTAATGGCATATTCTAAAGCAAAGTTGAAAAGGAGTGGCGATAAAGCATCTCCTTGTTTTAGACCATTCTGGATAGGAAAATTATCAGACAAATGTTAACCTATATGGAGTTTACCTTACGTTTCGTTTATACATATTTTTATCAGCCTAACTAGTTTCAGACGTACCCAAAACTCTATCAGAATACTGTACAATACTTCACTCCTAACTGAATCGTAGGTTTTCTTAAAGTCTATAAATAGCTGATGTACTGTCTCATTGTACTCCCATTTTTCCTCCAATATCTGACGAATGGAAAAGATCTGATCAGTAGTTGATCTGTTACGTCGAAACCCACACTGATGATCACCAATAATTTCATCTATGTATGGACTTAACCTTGAGAGAAGAATACTGGATGAAATTTTGTATGAAGTTGATAGCAACGATATCCCACGATAATCACTACAGCCAGTTTTATCACCCTTCTTGTGAAGTGGTACAATAATAGACTCCTTCCACGGATCAGACAATTTTTCCTTATTCCAAATAGAAATAATTAGCTTACGGATCTTAGAATATAATATTTCACCTCGTGCTTGAATCACTATAACACTATCGCTATTTCCATAATTTACATTTCACAAGAACACGCTGTCTGGTGTTCTCAGTCTTTTCCTTGACGTTTTCTTGAAACTGTTTCAACAATGGCTATTCCTCTGCCCCCGGCTCAAGTCCTTTCTTCACAGACACCCGTATAGAGCTGACTACTCTTTGTCCCTTCCTTAGGTCTCGGCACGGACCACATAGAAAACACCGCTCTTCTATTTTTGTGTTCGTGTCTGTTGCTGCGGGAACGTATTTGCCGACCCGTTCCCCATAAATGGCCCAGGTATATCCGCTCATCTCGCGGTCGTTGCATAGCAACAGCTGTACACGCTACAATGGAACCCAGTAACTCTGTTGTGATGACGTAACAACCACGTCTCCATGACAATGTCGCGACCTCAGTGATGTTTTAGACACAGTATACTTGATAGAAAATGGGAGCTAACGACTGCACTCGCAGTGGTTTAAATAAGGAAGCAGAGAACAATTTTCAATACTGTCCTTTCAGAGGATATTGCAGGTGAGCTGAACGAGTTTCTTGTGTGATTTCAGATCGCTGGCATGTCGGGACCTACTGACGCCTAATTGGTTGATATTAACATACCCAACTTTAAGTGTAATGAATGGATACTAATAAAAAATACATAAGAAAGAACACCTTCGGTCACATAACAGCGAGGGTATAACTCCCACTGAGTGCAGCTAGTTTAATATAAACGTTCCATCTTCCGGGATATAACGCCATGTAGTCCGCTGGGAGTCATCCGACGTTTCGGAGGAAGAGGTCGCTTCTATCTTCAGAGTCGAAAACCAAGCCAACCAAGGAACCAGAGTGAAACATGTACTACTATTTCTCCGTAGTATTGGCTACCCATTCTGATGATGGTGACGGACACATATAAAAGGTTTACTTTATATTAAACCAGCTGCACTCGAAGGACCTTGATACTTTTTCACCTACAAAATATATAATTAAATTATGTGCATAAGGCCAGAATGGCGTATATATATGACATTTGCCGAAGTGGTGTATCTAATGATAGTGATCTTTCAAACGAAACACATCCGATGTCAAGATAGAGTCAACTCAGAACATAACTTTAATTTTTAGCCAGTTTTTAGAGCAGATAATGCAATAAGCCGTGAAAAGGCGTCTCCTGAACTCCGAAATGAAGGGCAGGAAGTTGAGGATTTGAGAGGATTAAACTCCCATGAAAGCACACACACACACACACACACTGGTATTTACAAAGAAGGATTCTTAAGTACACTGCATCAACTACAACCGTAATATTATAATCTCTCTGGTCTTCATACGAGGAAGTTGAAGTTAGACGAGCGTTTTCAAGGATCATTGTGACAAAATGAGAGAAAACCAAGAGGTAAATTTTATTCGCATTGCTTATGGAATATTACACCCTCAGAAAACAAACAAAAATAATTCCGTGGCCTGAAGTCCGCAAACGAACTATACCGACCGAGCGACCGTTGCTTGTCGGCGAACTTAGTGCCAACTTTTGCGGATAGAGGGTGTCGCGTTGTCAGGGCAACAGATCCCCACGGCCGTTAATCTCGATTTCATAGACCGGAGCCGCTGTTTCTTTGAACTATCTATTTAATTATCCTCATGAGGCTGAGTGGACTCCGTTCCATATCCACTACTTCTCAGAAAATATGGTAGTGCCGGTAATCGAACCCGGACCTCTGAACCTGTAGCCAGGAACTCTGACCACTAGACCACAGAGGCGGTCGCATAAACTACCTGCATATGCAATAAATATCGCTATATTAACTGATATCCTGACTGACGTAGGCTTATCTCATGGTGGATATAAGTCTCAACATACAAGTTTCAACAATACCAACATTCTATGCGAAATTTTTGCCTTCCGGGAAGTGAATTTTGAGCAGCGCTCTTATTCCTTGTAGTCACGCCGAAAGCACATCACAGTAAAACCTCTGTCTGCTGTATGAAGTCTATGGACGGGTCAGTTTCCGTACTTCCGCTCACCATTTATACCGACTTCCGCTGCCACTTATTGTAGACACCAGGCACACAACGGAAAAGAAAAGTTCCATAACGATAAGTACAATTTCGCCTTAAACCCGACCGTCTGTTCTTCTGCATCGCCCGAACCGAGAGCCCACTTGCTCGGTCTGCATGAGGGGAGTGACATTTCTTCATCTCTGAAACGATACAAAGAAAAAAAAAAGAAAAAAAGAAAAGGGCCTTATCCCGAACAACGTCAATCCGATTCAATATATTACAGAGCGTTTCCTTCAACTCCTTTTCCGCTATGCAACCCGGTGTCCACATATCTCGAGACGATACCGAGACATCCATCAATTTCAAAATAAATCCACATTATTAAATCGATTCCATTCACAGAAATCGAGTTTACTGCGAGTACTACCGATGAAAGTGGCCGTGCGGTCTGCGGCATTAAATGTCTTTCCCTTCTGAAACACTAGGATCGCAAGTTCGAATCCCACTCTACGCATGGATGTCTGTCCACGTGTCTTCTGTATAGATAGGGGCCGTGCGACAGGGCTGATCCCCCGTCGAAGGAGTCTCACTAACTGACTGTTAGATCTAAATAGTTCGACACTGATTATGATGGGAAACATTAGCAACGGTTTCAGAAACAGAAAATTTGGTAACGTGTAAGAGCACAGAATGCACAAAAATGCGAACAACATTAATATTATGTAATTTTTGAGGTTTTCACGGCGATGACTACATTAATATTCTCATAAACAATCTCTGTTTTTCTGTTTTGAAAAATCGTGACACGCAAACAAATTGAGCTAGCCACATGAGGTTTGCAGCAGATTATAGTGAAACTCTGGAAGTATTTTTACTGACCTCAGTAGACTTCGACGTGGGCTCCCTTGGTAGCACGGAGAACGTCCAGACGATACTCGAGCCCTCGTCCTAATACATGTCTTCAGGTCATCAAGCCCGTTAACTGGTGTTTGGAACACACTGCTCTTGACATAACTCCACAGGAAAAAAATCCAGTGATGTTATGTCTGGTGAACGTGGAGGCCAAGGCATTGGACCGTCTCTGCCGATCCATCTTCCTGCAAATGTCCTGTCTAGGAACGTAAAGATGGCCACTTGTTCCATCTGTTGGCGGCAAACCGCATGTGGCTGGCTGAATTTGTTTGTAAGCCACAATTTTTCGAAATCCCGAAGGGACTTTGTGGACACGCTGTACTTTATGGTCACAAACCGCTTTCCTCCACCTTCCCTACATTTACAAGGACGAAACTGATAACTCGGACATGTACTACTATAATTATTAATTGGCAAATGTAGGTTAATGATAACAAACACATATATACGGAGTCCGGTGCCAAGAGAACAGAGTTGTACGTCGGTCGCCACACGACACTCACTGAGTCTTCTGGTGAGTATTACTGAGTCCAGTAGTACGTAGCAGTAGTAGCAGTAGTAGTAGTAGTAAATTAGTAGTGCCTCTATTCCTGTATTCCTGTTGCTCTCACTTGGAGCAGAGGATATACGTGTGGGTAGGACTCCTTGCACGGGGATCAGTCCCTCGCAAGGCCGCTACCTAACACAAACACAAAATAAAAAGACATCCATGCCTTGTGTGAGATTTGAACCCACGATCCCAGTGTTCGAGAGGGCGAAGAAATTTCATGACTTACGTCGCGCGGCCTCTGTGATCAGCGATTAGTAGTAGTAGTAGTAGTAGTAGTAGTAGTAAGAGTAACAGGACCAGTGACAGGACTGGTAGCACAAGAAGTCATAACATTACTTTATTTACGACGTATGTAAGGCTCCTGTGATTTCACTAGTTCACACAGGCTCGGATGTTGAAAACATTGATAAATAGCGAATTCGAAATATGTAGAACACGTCATGACCTAATTAGAAGAATTATCCAGGAAGACTGAAGAAGACCACGAAATATCTGTCAGCTATGCTGTTTGATTTCTTACTTATGATCTGCATAACGCGGCTCTCAGTATCTCGGAGTTTATAACGTCGAATATGTACATGATGGGTAAACTTGGGTGCTGAAAATATGCCCCAGAAATTGGTTGTGGTATGAATGTTTGTTCTATGTCAGCGTAGCCTTGGGAAGACTAATATAAAGCACGAGAATTCTCAGTCAGGAGAGTGGGTGTTCCTGTCGAGATTTCAACTTAGCACCTCCCGGGTACAAGTCGGAACATGTATCGCTTTAGACCACTTGAAGGCCTCTGGTGAAATGAGTTACTCACTGGGCACCATCCAAATGCAGGGCAGAAGCCTCATTGCTTGAAAAAGCTTGCGGGATGGAAGAGCTCCATCTGTCCAGTGCTTCACTGAACCAAACAATCGCTTATCTTTACTGTCTGCATCCCGTTGTGTGTCATAATCTGTAATACTCTAGCCGTCAACACAACAAATATTTTAAAGTAAACCAATCTAGTTGTTTATATTGATTTTATTTAATAACTGCTGCAAATTTTGATCCATATTTTTGACCATTCTCAAGCAGTTTCATTAAATGCGTCTCACTTTATTCAAATATCCTAATATGTATCTATATTAGTGATAATTGTTATAATCATCCTAATACCTGCAATTATTGGAATCTAGAACAGTAATAACAAAAAAATATCCACATGATAAGGAGTACACAACACACACTGAAGAGAAAATCTCAACCACGTCACATTAAAGAAAGAAAGAAAAAACAAATAATAATAATATTATACGCGAATAATTTCAAAAACTTGTAAAGACATAACAGCGAACTCCGACAAATAACACAGAATTTTACATTGTAACGACGAGAACATTTTAAATTTTTAAAAATCTTTTTTAGAATTTCAGCAATAATTACATGTATTATGATGATTATAATGACTAACACTGATACGGATACATATTAAGATATTTCAATAACGTGAGATTTATTGAATGAAACTTCCTGAGGATGGTCCAATATATGGACCGAAACGTGTACTATTAAATAAAACCAATGTAAATAATTTGATTGTATTATTTTGAAATATTTGTTGTGTTAACGGTCAGAGTATCATAAAACAGACAGTTGTTTGTTGTTGTTGTTGTTGTTGTTGTTGGGCAATTTCATAAAAACATATGTACATTCGCTGTTGCTCCTATTTTAATGTTGTTTTATTAGCATCAGTCAGACCATTGGCAATACTGCACCGCACAAGGACTGACCACTTCAAAATGTAAAATTCTATATATCTTATTTGAGACACACAACAGGATACAAACTATTAAGATTGTAAAATCCTATATTTAGCCCAAGCTATGGACTTAAAGAAGTGTGTACAATGATAACAAATATATCTATCGTAATATTTTAAAACAATGACGCATGTCGCAAGCAATGCTGCTTAGAACAATATTGTGGCATATTAACCCGTTGCTAGGCACCTACCGCGAAACAAACCAAACTAGGCAACAGCTGCGTAAGTACGCAACAGTACCGCCGCCGTTGTTAGGCAGCGGCCCTCGCGAAACAAGGGAAGTACTGTTGGAAGCGGCGCTTTCTATTTGGTCTGCCTCGAAGCTGTTGCGGTGGAATAGAGCGATCTGATTAGTGAGTGAGTGATTTAGAGTATTGTTGCTGTTAGAAGCTGGTAACTGAGGCACGGGGACAGTTTGGGAACCCAGAGCAAGGGGAACGCCACCGTTGGGATCCGTTACCAGACAACGACTGGTGAAAGGGAACTGCTGACTGTGTGAATCAGTAACAGTGTTATACTAACATGTAGTTACGTTCTGTAAGATTTCAATAAATCCAATACCAATCCGAACCTCCTCTATAGTAACTCTAACACGAGACAATATATACATACTTAAGTATGTGCAGGTTGAGAACATGCTGAAAAGGTTTCTAAAACAATTCCCTTCTCTTTAACTTAATGTTACATTTCACTAAACTAGACTGCACTATACGAAATTACACCTCATTATACATATTACCTTGCCTTGCAGTGCATTAGACCGCTTGATATTTTATAATGTTATATTTTACCAAATTGTACAAGGAATTGTCATGATGTGGCTCATTATTATTTAATTAAATTTCCTTCCTGTAAACGTTCTGTGACACATGCTATGCTAACAGGTGACAAGAACATTTCAAGCTCAATTCATTCATTCATCGGTGACCCTACAGCCCTTTGTTAGGTCCTGGCCTCTTCTTCAGTTTCGTAATCTTTTTTACACAGACGGTAGGACCCCTTGGACGAGTGATTTTTTTCTTTTGAGATCCCCATTTATTTGCAATCTGTATGAATACATTTACCAAATTGTTGTGAGTTGTGTGAAATGACGTGTGGAGGGGAGCTCATTAGTTCCCCTCCGTATATGAATAGGTTGGGGCCTGGTGGGAGAAGGGGAGAAACTTAAGCTAAACTTAAAACTAAACTACTAACTAAGATTATATTTTGAATCTGGTGATCAGATCGATTGGCTGGTGTCGTTTGAGGCGCCTTAGGTCTGGTGGTTGAAGTAGTTGAGCTGCAAGTTCGTTGGGGTGTGTATGTAGTCGAGCTCTATATTGGGAGCTCCATTGGCTGATCTCTTCCTTGATTGTTTTGATTTGAAGATCACGCCTGATGATCGTATTTGGGACGTACCATGGTGCGTTGGTTAAACGAGTGATTTAAAGCTCAATGCATGACATTTATTCAGAAACAAAAGCTGAAATCGTGAGGGCAATACAACACGAAGTTTCTTACAACTTGTAACCGTTCTTCTCAGATCAACGGTGGAACCAAGCCAGCCACAATATGAAAGCTATACTGTGGTTTCTCTTCGTGACTATTGTGCTGACGGTCCAGGTGAGTAAAACGCAAATTATCTACAACCTGGAGTCCTCAATATGTAAGTAAATATTACTGAGACACCTAGCATTTACGTCACATTCCCTGAAAACTTTCACAGAAACGAACTCCATCTGAGAAACAAAGAATAAATATTATTAATTCAATCATTCCTAATTATACAAAAACGTTAATTCCTGATAAATATATTTAATTAACCCACCCATGTCATTAAAACTCATTTCCCCGACTACCGTCGAAACTGTGGACACTAAATACGAAGCTACACCGATACACGTGCGGTGCATATGAAGCTACACTGATACACGTGCGGTACATACGAAGCTACACTGATACACGTGTGGTGCATACGAAGCTACACTGATACACGTGCGGTGCATAAGAAGCTACACTGATACACGTGTGGTGCATATGAAGCTACACTGATACACGTGCGGTACATACGAAGCTACACTGATACACGTGCGATGAATAACACCAAGCACACGGAAAGCAGTGATTTCTACCAGGGTTGCCTCACCGTTTGGGTTAAAGTACGGGCCTCGACGCAAAGAGATAGCACTCAGTGGCACCTAACATGTTTGTAAAGTCACCTGATTCATTGCTAACGTAACATTAGCCTTGGTTTGTATGTTATCGTTACGGCTGAAGAAGCAAATGTGGGCGGAAGAATTGTCGTCTTAACTGAGCTATTACATAGAAGGACACCCGCCTTGCAATATGCCCGGCGATAAAGCTTTCGGAATACAGACAACGGCGTCCACCTGGACACGGAACGCCATTTTTCTTTTTCCTTCTGGGATATAAAAAACTCAATAATACCCAATATGATTCTAAATTAATGTCGGGGTTTCCGTGGCCCATAATTTGGAGGGAAATTGAATACCTCTGGACATCTTATGTGCCTTGAAAGGCGCGCATGTTGAAGTCGTTTAGCATTCTGCAGTATTGATTCCAAATCTAATAAACTTTTTGAGTTACACTTTCATACTCCGTAAACATTTTTATTTATTGTTCCGTTTCGAAAATTATAGGCCAAGGGAAACCGTGATAATAATTTATTATCACCCTGCATATTGAAACATATTCCAGATAATTCTATCCAGTCCCTGTTGAGAAGTCTTACTTAATCAAGAAATTCCCAGCACTTCATGGAACCCAAAGAATTTCGACTCCAGAAAAGACAACCACTGTTTCCTATCCAGAAAAACGCAAATTCAGTCCATAAGCTTCCAATCCAGTTATTTAAGATCCACTTTAATCTTATCTGCTTATCTATATCTTCATCGAACAAGCACTATTTTTCAACGAGGTTTTGCTTCCAAAAATGCGTACGACTCACGCCTCACATGCCATGCGTGTTACATGCCCTACACATAATCCTGTTTTGATGGTATCTGTGGAGACGATTCTGAGTTTAATGCAGAGCCTCATGATTTCTGGATTTTAATAATGAAATAAGGTTATAGATCGAGATTCACACCCATACAAAACTTCAAGTAAATTTATAATTGAAGGAGTCTGTCTTCTTGGACGTTACACTGTGTAGTCCGCGGAAAATCGGCCGACGATTGGTGGGATCTGTCGCTCTTGAAGGCGACATTTTCCCACGAAACCTCCGTTTATTTTCACCGAACAATACTGCCTTGTATCCCAGAAGCTGGCCATTTTCCTTAGCCACCGGTATCAGAACCTAAAATCCTACATAATATTGAGCTTTGTAATTTTAGATAGCAGGCATGAACACAGAAATTTCATTACTCATGAAAGAGTGTTCAGGTACTCAGAAAATTCGTTTTTCTCCTCTTTGGCAGTTCCCCCCGCAAATATCCATTCTTATTTCCTTGTGGAACTCCACTGTTGTCCCTAATAGAGCTCCAAAAATATACCATTATACGGAAAACCTTGCAATCCCCATTTCATTATGGAGCTCTATAATTAAACTGATTCCAGTGTTCCACGCGTTACTAATGAATAATGTACGTGGAACACTGAAAGTATATTGAATAGTCAGTAAGAGCATGATGACGTCTAATACACTGTGAAACACTGGCTCAGTATTCGGGGAGGGGGTGTAGGGATTTTATACAAGTGGCGATAAATGTACTCAAAATATCCCCTCAATTGCGTTCTACCATGGAATGCGCAAAACTGAAAATGTGATTCCCTCTTTCAGAGCCTGGATATTGTTGCTGCAGATCCATACTCCAGTGGACGTAAAACACCTCCCAAGGTGAGTACAGCATGTTTCATGAATTTCAGATTGCAATCACATCAGAGTAAAACAAAAAGAAATACAAAACAAACTCCGTGGTTTTAGTCCGTAAGCTAACTATACCGACCGAGTGACCGCCGCTTTTCGGCGAAGTTAACAGATTTTCTGTGAAGTAGTCCACTCAGCCTCGTGAGGATAATTGAGGAGCTATTTCAAGTAAATAGCGGGTCCGGTCTAGAAAACCGAAATTAACGGCCATGGGGATTCGTTGCGGTGACCACGTAACACCTTCTATCGGCTAAAGTTGGCATATCAGAGTAAACCCTGGTTAAACCGGCTACAGTTAATCCGGAACGAAATATGAAAAATAAAATAATACTGTTCACAGTTGAGTACATACTTTAAAGAGACACGGCATTTAGGAAGGCAGATGAGTCACTTGCCTGTTCAGACAAGACTTGACAGTTTCTTCAGGTCTGCAATTATTACGTTCAAACACAAGTAAAACTTCTATATTCTATCGATGAATAAATGTATTGTATTTTTTTTATTTTTAAATAGATGTTCTACAGTGATACATTTTTATTCATTTTTTCATCAGCACATCATTAAATTTTCCATTTATCTGTGTTCTAAGATCTTTGTCTTTTGCGTCACTAATCCAGATTATCGCTTAATCCAGATGACCCTTCCAAATTACTCCGGATTAGCGAGGGTTTACTCTGTGTCTGGTGGGTTTGGGTGGGTGGATGGATGGATGGATGGAACTACGCTAAGGAATATAAAATTAGTTATTTCCTTTTTCAGCATGCCGGACGTTGAAGGATGCACTCTCAGCAACAGTAAAAGCAAAACATTGCATGTAATATGCCAATGACTGAAATAAAAGTCTTATAACAAATTCCATCATTGTGCTTATAATGACAAGAGCAGAAGTGCAGACGTTAATATCTGTCCATACTGTTACATTCTGTCGCAAAGCAAGCACTGCTAGCGGAGTTACGTGTTGTGGACGCACTCCTTCATGCTGCGCAATGAGACGGCCTCACTCCTTGTGGCAAAATCTAAGGGCCAAGACAGCTTCCTCTTGAACCCTCACGCACTTCACTGCACAAATTTCAGGCGATGCTGGGACTGACGCGCACAGAACCACGATAAATGAATGAAAATGCGCATGTGCATACGTACACAAGGAAGACTTCCAATCACTGTGTTTTTTTCATTGCTAGTGGGGTGGGACTAAGTCCCTGTACTAAGTCCCTAAGTACTGCGACCATTTCTGGATCACTGTTAGTATGTCGCATGTGAGGAGGGCAACATGTAGATCAAATTTTTCCTAATGATAGCCCGTAAACAAACATACAGATTTCTATTCGGACGTTGCTTGGTTCGGATCTCGGCCTGGACATTGTCTATTCTGACTTCGGTTTATCGTGAGCTGCCTCATTCCCTCCAGTTAAATAACAGGATCTTACCTCGATTAGGCCAAAACAGTTTCCTTCCTACTCCTTTCCAATTCATTATTTATCTACAATCAGAAGCAAAATATTCTCGACAGCGAAACCGGCTCCATACCTAATCCTGTGCGGACTACATATATTTTCGAGTGGAGGGAGGTATTCTGGCCACTCCTCGGATGTGTGAGGAACCCTTCAGGTTAGGAAACAGGTCAGAAAAACAGAGTAACGATCATTAATTTGTTCACGTCGCCCAACCACTCGACAAGAAATATCGTGCCGTAGTAACTGCTTCTAGCCGATCAAGGTGGCCGCGTGGTCTAAGAGCATGAACTACCTTCGCTCGCTCGAACACTGCGATCATGGGTTCAAATCGCACTCGAGACATGGGTGCCTGTGTGTGCGTTTATTCTGGGTTTGTGTTGTAGCGGCCTTGCGATGGGCTGAGTCCTTCAGTCTGCGTACAGATTAAGAAAGAGAAGAAGGGGCCAAAGTCCAGTTGTAGAGCTAGAGATGCTCGTAGATAGGTAGTAATTGCTTCTGTCCGATAAGTCAATAATAAACTCGTGACTTATTTAGTTTTCTATGAATTCTCATTCGTGGTTTCCTCTATTACAAGTATTAATGATAGTAATTAGAATATTTTTTTCCTTGGCACTACAGCCCCAGTGGGCTTAGGCCTACCTGCATGAACTTCTCCGTTCACTTCGGTTTTTCGAGATCTTACACATTCGGTAGGACTCCTTGAGCGGGTGATCAGCTCGTCGCAAGGCCTCTACCTGTAGACAAACACAGAAAAACGCACACACACAAACTAAACATCCATGCCCTGAGTGAGATTCGAACCCACGATCCCGATTACCAAGCGAGCGAAGACAGTACATGCCTTAGACCGCTCAGCTACCGTGACCGGCTAGTAATTAGAATATACAAAACTATAATTTTGCCTGTGGTTCTGTATGTGTGTGAAACTTTGTCTCTGACATTAAGGAAGGCACATAGACTGAGGGTGCTGAGGGGAATATTTGGGCCGAAGAGAGATGAAGAGACAGGAAATTAGAGAAAACTGCATAATGAGGAGCTTCATAACTTGTACCCTTCTCCAAGTATAATTACGACGATCAAGTCAAGGAGGATGAGGTGGGCAGGGAATGTAGCACGAATGGGGGAGAAGAGGAATGCATAGAGGATATTGGTGGGGAAGCCAGAAGAAAAGAGACCATTGGGAAGATCAAGGCGTAGGTGGGTAGACAATGATAAAATAGATCTTGGAGAGATAGGATGGGATTGTATGGATTGGATTGATCTGGCTCGGGATAGGGACGAGTGGAGGGCCCTTGTGAACAAGATAATGAACTTTCGGGTTCCATGGAATGATGGAATGCTGGGACATTCTTCAGTAGATGCAGATTTGGCTTCTCCTCAAGAAGGGCTCAGCTCCATAAGTAAGTAAGTAATTAAGCAGTAATAGTTACTGTACAAGTTGTAGGAAACAAAGACACCGTACTGCTATACTGATATATCGATACTGTCACGTGTTTGAGTGAAATCAGCGACAGGACGAGAAGGAAAGGAGAGGGAGTCTTCGGCAGTCAAAGAAGAAAGGTTCGGCTGAAGATTGGCTGTGAGTTATTGTAACTGAACGCGATTAAGAGAGAGTGTACTAGAAGGTATTAAAATTCAATCATCCAATACAAACCACATTACTATTAGTCACGGAGCCATAAAAGCATGACAATATAATGGTTTTCAATAAAGTATTATATTCTAAAAGAAAATAAAGTTTTAAGAAGATGAGTTTTTATTCAAGAGCTCGGTGAAATAATTCCATTGTCAATGGATATTAAGACAACAATACCTTTGAAGTGACTGGTCAACACACACTCCTAGAGTACTCACAAGAAAACAGAGTATAACATCCATAATTCTCAGAGATCCTTTGGAGGAGAACAGATACCATCATCACAGGTGCATCTCCTAGCTAAATTCAAGCCTTCCTAGAGAAACAATGTGTTGGGCAGTTCAAGTGAAATTTAGGTCCATGTAAGTCACATTTATCATCGTGTTGTTACCAGTAAAGTTTGAGGATACAAGCAGCGTGCGCCCTTGTATCACTTTATGAACACTAAGGATACTCTAATAGTATTGAGAGTACTGAGAATACTCAAATGCACTGGGGTTATTATGTGTGTGTCCTTGTAAAGCGTGTACTCCCAGTTATGTACTCGTATACGTTTAGATTTGCATGTGCGTACTTTGTTTTGTATTGTTCCCACTATGCGTAGTATAGTTTCCTTGTCTGTGTCAGTGTAAGCTGTAAGGTCTACTGACATCGAGTGAACAACCAATTTCAGTAAATTCAATTCAATTCATTTCGTGATTCTTTACGTGCAAACTTAAGAGCACAATGTCCAATTACAAAGTTACCACGAGTACCCAGAAATACACAAAAATAACTGAAGATCAAAATACAAAATATGACAGTCTATATACGATAATAAATTATTAACAATTCCAAGAAAATTGAAGTTAGCTTTAACAGGCGTGAAAAATAAAATAAGTACATTTCCAATACTTATGCTATTTGTGGCGAGAAAGGGCAATACATGTACATACACACACAGAAGTTAACAATAATAATAATAAAGTAAAAGTAAAACTATCCCTGTAACAGGCCTTGAAGGCCCATAGGGTTGTGAGACGTTGAGGCTCCCACATTATCTAGACAATCGGCTCACAGATGGCGGTAAAATTGTCAGCCTTACGCGTCGGCCGCGCTTTACTCCCTAAGAAAATTATTTAATTAATTCCTGGTATTCATTTCTGTTAGAGGCTGAGTCGACCCCAGGGCCATAGTGCGGCCGTAAGGATTATAACAATAACTCAGTTAATAATTATAATTATAACCCTATCAACAAAATAATAATAATAAGGGATAGAAATTGCAGAATGAAAACATATTGTGTAATGAGGACTTTGCAAGTTCTGCATGCCAGTGAATCTTGTTACTACGATGAAATCAGAAATTTAGAGACGGGCCGGACGTGTAAGAAGCATGCGAAGGCGATAAATTCATACAAAATTATAATCGACCGATCTGAAGCGAAGAGACTTTTGCTCTTCCTAGATGGCAGATGCGAGGGTGTGAGTCCGTCGATTGCATGCTGGTTCCCCAGGATAGATTCCGGCTAGGAGAATACTAATAAATCTGAGGTCCTCTGAAGCAGACCGGTGTAGAAGCAGCCTCTGTATATGCTCTGTTCGAATCTCGGCCGGAACACCGGTATCCTTACTAGTTCTTTCGTCGTTTCCCTCAAATCCTCCAGGTAAAAGTATGGATCGAACCTCAATTCGATTACGAAGGCCTCCTTCCTAATCCTTTCCAATTCATCACACCTCCATCATGGTATACTCGTATATAGGCTGCGATACTAAAAGCATTGTAGAATAGTGTAGCTAGGCAGCGGCCCGCGTGCAACAATTAAAGTATTGTTGGAAGTGGTGTTTTCTATTTAGTCCGCTCCGAGGCTATATCATTCGACCGATAGAGTTCAGTTCAGTTCAGTTAGTCAGTCAGTGGATTGGAGTGAGTTGGTTGGTGTGTCAGAGGATTCCTGCGGTTCAGTCCTTGTGAGCTGCTGTTGTTAGGATCTGGTAACTAAGGCATGGGGACATTTCGGAAAACCAAAGTAAGGAGAATGTCCGCCGTTGGAAAACCGTTACCAGGCAACGACTGGTGAAGCCAGAGCAGACTGAGAAGACAGTGCTATAGTGAATTGTAGTGTGTGTGAATTAGCGACAGCCTTATAGTTACTTGTAGTTACGGTCTGTACGTGTCCAATAAATCGAGTCACCAATCCAAATCCCGTCTAGTCACTCATCCACGTGACAACAGAAATGTAGAAGGCCGGGAATAAGCTTGTTAGAAAATAATGTTCTGATAAAATTATTTCGCGACAGATCTCCTCCTCCCCCTCCCACAAAAACGGCAATGCAGCCTCTAAGCTGACACCATTGTTGATGTATCTCTACACCGAGGTGTAAACACTTCAGGTGGAATTGTGCAGAGTCTCAAGTGCCTTTTCCAGCAGCACGCAGACACGATAGGACTACTTGGCGATGTCACAGACGGTTGCAAATTCCGTAAGCAGCGTCTCGGACTGCAGAAAGAAAAAGCATTTGATAGAAGCTGTTCAAAGTGTCCGTCCGTTCGTGCATAAGTGTGACATGCAACTCCATTACCGTCCGTCGCTGAGCGCATGGCCAACTTTGTACCTGTCCAAACTCTGCTAACCCAACAAAGCGGAAGCTACTACTTGTCAAGTCCTTGCGCATTTCTGAAGAAACTTACAAAAGTTTTTTAGAAATTTATGTACTGAAAATAAGAGAAGATGAAAGTGTTGCAGAAGTTTTATTCCAGAATAGATGAATATAGAAGCAAGTTCAAAACTGTGGCATTTGAATGTAAAAGTGTTTCGAGCCATCTGTCCCCTTTCCACAGTGTCAGTATTGTTCTTCGGCGCAATTGTACACCTGAGCAGGTTTCTGTGTGTTTTGATAGACACAATACACGCCACAATGCGACGAATTGCAAGGTGTCGTTTTCTATTCGTTATGTATTTTTTTAACCCATACAGTCCAAGAACTCAAAATTCTGGAGACTTCAAATATATTTTCTTTATTTTAGGTTGGTAATATCGGAATAACACAATTTTTACCCCAAATATCTAAGATGTCTGTAGTGTGCAGCAGAAACTTTTCATGGTGACAGTATTACAAATGCTGAAATTCTGCGGGGGCTTAAAGTGGGACTTAAAGAAAGAGCACACGATAAAACTGGATGCGATAAAATTATGTTCCTCAGAGCGGTCACGGGATACAGATTGTCGGATCATAGACGTAATAGAAGTGTAGTAGGCAACAGCTGAAAATAATAGATACCAATATAGCAACGAAAAGTGTCAAGACGAATGAATGTAACATTTAGCTCAAAATCCTGGAGACCGTATCCCAGATCCGCAACATTCACATACACTGCAGAACACTGAAATGGACAGGAATTTAATAGGGCGACTTTGCGTGCATGATGATGATGATGATGATGATGATGGTGACGACGACATATGTATCGTAACGGAAGTACTTACCCTCGAGTCGGCAGGCGAAGGCTTCCTGTTGTAGTTGTGGTTGATGGGTGACAGTTCCTCCTTCTGCAAGCGTAACAGCTCCATGGAGAGGTGCAGCCTCATTGGCTGAGGTCGGACCTTGCCGTCGCTGACCGTCACCATGCCACTCCGCACCTAGTTACACCAACGGCGTTAGTTCTAGTAACAAATTCGATGTTTGGGGCATCTCAGTAAAACGGAGAACAGCAATAAAAAATGTGGTGATGTTTAACTGTTTATGAATGACACCAACAAATCAAAAATACATTCACAGAGAAATTATTCAGATTTTGTTCCTACGTTTGTTTGTAATGTGACATGCAGAACGATTGCCAAGTAACAACTGTGTAAACAGGTGACAGTACAAGAGCCGTTGCTATGGAACAGCTCTGTGAACACGTATCCCGCAAACTGATGTGGGTTTTCCGTTGCGGACCAGGCGCGGTGTGAGGAGCTTCGTTTGGACGTCACTTTGCAGTGACAGTGTGAACGGCACCCAATAGCACACCATGTTATCAATTTAATACAATTCACATTCAGAGACCTCATACATCTTACAATACAACAGCTTTGCTCTCGTCTGCTGTGCTTACAAGATCTAAATACTTACGTACCAACGGGTGACCCCGCTAACACAAAATTTCCTGCCATGTTTTCCCACATGTTAACACTGGCAACATTAGCAAAAACAAAACTTTGACCAGCCAAGTCCACACGAACTTCGATTTGGGCCCCGGTAGCTGGGGTGTGGATGGTACTCTGATGGATAACATTTCAGGGTAGATCATTGTAATTATGGGATTGGCTATGGTAGATTACTCAGTTTGTAAAGACTTGACTCTGGTTCGAAGGTTGTATTAAAGGGGAAAAATAACGTTCATGCACCTTACAACAAGTCAATACAATTCATCTTGAACACTGAATTAACTGAGATGCAGAAGCGATGAGACGTAATGGTGTGGATTTGATAATTCCTATCAGACAAAAATTTAACCAAATTCACGAATATTAATTTATGTATGGTGTTTGCTGGAGCGGCCAAACAGGTCCGTCGGATTCTCAAGTTGAAAACAGAACGCCTCGAGACGATTTGTATCAACGACGCATCCATCTCTCCAAGAAGCGGCGTCCGACGCCTGTACAAATCGCTCGTTTCCAGTTGGCCGATTCAAACAGAGTTCCTCACCCTGAAGTGGAACATATACTGTCACGATTTTCAGAGACTATAGACGTGTTTTGATTGGTAATTGGATTTCCTGAACTCTTACAGATCTGTGACTAAGAGTAATTATAACCGTTTCACTAATTCACACACTTTACAGCTCACTATAGCACACACTTAAGTCTTCTCAGCCTGCGGTGTCTTCACCAGTCTTGTCTGGTAACGGCTTCCAACGGTGGACGTTCCCCTTCCTCTGCGTTCCAGAACTTCCCTTGACCTCAGCTACAGCAACTCTCGACTAACTCACTCACTCATCCTGGACTTGTCCTGCTTAAAACATCTCTGCATGGAGCGCACAGAAAACACCGTTCCTCTGTTGTTGTGCCACTGTTGCGTGCGCCACCGTTAGCGCAGACCGCGCAGAAAACACAATTCATCTGTTGTTGTATATTTGCTTATCTCACGGTCGTTGCTTAGCAGCGGGTCTATATGTCACATTGCACTCCTACTGAACAAAACTAATGAAAATCCCGTCACCGTAAATAATGTGTTCCCACATCTGTCATGACAGCAGCTGTAGGATCTACTCCCACCAGCTGGGTCCCTCTGGACCTGGCTTGTAGCGACAGAAATTTCTTTCTGCTCAGATTTCTGGCTCCAAAACCTCACAAAGTATAACTTTTTCATATATTTGTAGCCCAAGCGAAGGAATGTAGTATTTCCGTATTCCCAATTACGTCCATTCGTGCCAGAAGAACGCGAATCTAAATTAAATTAAAATTAAATCAATTACTTTAATTGTGGTATTAATCAAGCCCAATTAATAAATCTTAAATATATCTGTAATTCTACGAGGCAACCTTTGCAAAATTTCTAAAAATGTATTTAAAAACTTAAAGCCTAATATTTGAAAACTAAACACAAAACTTAACCTTGTGGAATTGTTGTGGGCAAATATTAAAGGTAGACATGGAGTCTTGTTTTTACAAGTAACTCCTATGGCCTGCAGCGGGTATGTAGCTGGTAAGATAGTGGTAACTTTTAAAGCTGAGTCACTCACCAATACGAGTATAAGTACCAGAAGTATCCTGACACATCAATAACAGAAGCTGTTTACCAGATGTGCTGTAGTAACAGCGTTTTTAATAATCTTACCCTGCTTTCTGAGACACGCTATATTTTGTTCAGAATTTTATCAGTGTCTATCGAATGATTAAGGAAGAAATCATTCACCAAAGCTGAGAACAAGTAAAGTTGTACTAGACGAGGTGGTAAAAGGAAGAAAGGATAAATGCAATGATAACTGAAAAAACACCGGCTTGCTTTCACGCCTATACCTTGCTTGTCTTATTTGACCCTGAAGATGGTGGCGATATTTTCCCCCGAAACGTTTGTTGACTTCCAAAAGACTACACGGAATTATATCTCAAGAGATACTATCCATCATAACCACCGGCGTGAGAGCCTCAAATCCTACATTCTACCGCAGTTCGAAGTTGAGTGCGTGCAGTTTCTCCCCTCTCCCCTACAAATCAGCGTTCCAGTGAGCACTGCTGCAGTTTCTCACCTCTCCCTTACAAATCAGCGTTCCAGTGAGCACTGCTGCAGTTTCTCACCTCTCCCTTACAAATCAGCGTTCCAGTGAGCACTGCTGCAGTTTCTCACCTCTCCCTTACAAATCAGCGTTCCAGTGAGCACTGCTGCAGTTTCTCACCTCTCCCTTACAAATCAGCGTTCCAGTGAGCACTGCTGCAGTTTCTCACCTCTCCCTTACAAATCAGCGTTCCAGTGAGCACTGCTGCAGTTTCTCACCTCTCCCTTACAAATCAGCGTTCCAGTGAGCACTGCTGCAGTTTCTCACCTCTCCCTTACAAATCAGCGTTCCAGTGAGCACTGCTGCAGTTTCTCACCTCTCCCTTACAAATCAGCGTTCCAGTGAGCACTGCTGCAGTTTCTCACCTCTCCCTTACAAATCAGCGTTCCAGTGAGCACTGCTGCAGTTTCTCACCTCTCCCTTACAAATCAGCGTTCCAGTGAGCACTGCTGCAGTTTCTCACCTCTCCCTTACAAATCAGCGTTCCAGTAAGCACTGCTGCAGTTTCTCCTCTCTCCCCTACAAATCAGCGTTCCAGTGAGCACTGCTGCAGTTTCTCCTCTCTCCCCTATAAATCAGCGGTCCTCGACCAAGACACTAATTGTAACTTCTCTAATTTTAGCATAAATAAAATCAAACTTCCATGTCTTTCGTCTAAGCTTAAAGCAAGAATATTACACTGTAGCATGTGGACCCCTTCCTAGGTAACGACCGCGAAATAAACAACTATACAACAGTCGTTGCTAAGGAACAGATCCGCAAATAAGCATATTTCCACGACAATAACTCCACTGCAACAGAGGAACGGCGTTTTCTACGCGGTCCGTGCCGAGATGTTATAAGCCGATGGTTGGTTGTTCTGAGCACGAACCAGAAGAAGACAGAATAATGACCAGCACAAAAATTTATTAAACTCATGAAGCAAAGTGACCGCTAGAGTTCATATGCGGTACACATGACTGCGCTGACGAGAACCAGCAGCAATTGTAAACGACAGACCTGCCCTCTTGTTAGAGATGTTGCTCCGCATCAACAAACCCGCAACTGTCTGAGAATAATAACAATCTCCTCTTGGGCCCCACATGCGTGCTTGACACGAAGACATACTGGCCGAATGACCGTCAGTCGTAACATAAATTTGACTTCGGTTGTTTGGTTGGTTTGTGAGTTAGTGAGTTAGAGGACCGCTGAGATTCAGATGTTGTGAGCTATTGTGAGAATCCGGTAGCTGAGGCCGTTCTTGAACCCAGAGCAATTGGAACGTCCGCCTCTACCAAGCAACGGTAGTGAAGACGTGACTGTGGACGCTGTGTGTATAACAGTGAACTGTAAAGTGTAGTCTCGTGCCTTATCAAAGAGTCCAATAAATCCGATGAATCCAAAACCCCGTCTATAATCAAACCCAGCCTTGACACTGTTGGCTCGTTAGAATGGCGGTCGGGCTTAAAGCAACGGAAGCTCTTTATCTACTTGGCAAACAGGAATGCAAGATTCATTGCTGGATGAAAAACGAAATGTTCGAGCGGGCTGGACGCATTAATACCTGCCAGAAGGGACTATGACAGCACGTAAATCCATTGCCTCGACTCGCAGTGACACTTTTTTGCACCATTGCCTCGATATCAGTACTTGTACAGTTCGGGCAAACGTGCCGGAGACCAGATATGTAGCACCAGTTACCTATCTCAAACTCACACTGATGATAGGCAGGCCAGTATTAGCACACGAACATTGAATAGGCAGGTGTAGCGGCAAACGCTCCGGACTAGATTCTGAGAGGTCATCGTTTCGAATTTCAGTGGGGGATACTTGGTACCTTAATCAACGTTTATCGAGATTTCTCTCAGTCCCTTCAAATTCCAGGAGAGTACCTCGATCAGGCCACGACCGCCGCCTTCCAAATCATTTCCCATGCAACAAGCCGGACGACCGCGGGTTCGATTTCTGCTGCATTATGGCCCTGGGGTCGACTAAGCCTCTAACAAAAGTGAGTACCAGGAATCTTCCTGGGGGTAAAGTGCGGCCGGCGCGTAAGGTTGACAACATCTGTGAGCCGATAGTCTAGAAAATGTGGGAGCCTTGACGTGTCACAACACTATGGACCTCCACGGCCTGTTATAGAGAAAAATGTGAGGGTAAAAAAGAATATATATCTCGAAATTTTGACGGCCCCTGAATTAGAAAAAAAAGTGGATTTTAGTATCCCTTCTGCCTGTATGTCTGTATACATGGATAGATGCCCCCTTGGCTGGCATCCGAACGGTTGGACGGGTTTTATTCACGTTCAATGTTCTGTCAGAACAGTATCCGGTGAATATGAATACCGCATATCCAAAAATGGACTCACCTCAGATGGCGCCCAAAACTCGTGTCTA